GGTTTTACAGAAGAGCCACCAACGTCTCTCATATTGCTGAAAATTTTACCAAAATAATATCTACCGCAAACAGTGGTGCATTGGACCATGTTTCGACCGACATGCTGACGTTTAATTTCGGTTGCAGTTTATGTAAAGATTAAGGAAAAGGTGGCTAGAAGCTTTAAAACAATTATTTAATATGTGAAGCTTTTGGAACCCTTAACGATGGTCCTTCGGCTGCACAAGTTATTAATGTACAGAAGAGATATTGTAGTCACGAATAAAAAGGATCAGCAGATAAATGACAGATGCATTATAGCGAAGAAACAAACAGTAAAAGGAAAATAGCTTAAAAATGAAAGGCAGAAGAAATTAAAGATTAAAAGTATGAAAAATGAACGAGATAAATGCAGAAGAAGTATAAAGAGATTAGACACTTTGAAAGTGTTTACTATTTGCTTGCCAAACTATCAGTTATGAATGCCAACTTTTGGCTTGATCCGAATGCGTTTGACAATCTCAGTTTTGGAAACCAAGGAATGGATAGATTCTAAATTCAATTAATAACCAGTATTAGTTTCCGCAGTTTGTTTTAGATAATAAAAAATATATTACAGAAAATTGTGTTACGTTGATCACGTGACGAAAATAAGCAACAGTTACCTGAAGAAAATAATTTTACAGTATTAGGCTCTGAATTCCAGTTGGACACCCAGACTCAGCTGAATATTAATCACCTGATGATAATCACAAGATATGCGGCTTAACACAGTACATAGGGTTGCGTATACTCAGAACACAGGATCACAGTTGACAACGGAATGGGACGTGTTGGCGCAAGTTGCTAGTTGTTGTTAGCGCTCGGTTATGCGGTCGTCGCACTGAATCTCTGTGATTAGAGTGCTTTGAGGTGCATCAGTTACGTAATTCAGCCCTTTATGTTATATATCTCTGTGAATGAAGTACGGTTTCCGTTGTCAAACTACTAAAGTTCTTATTGCGATGTCAGTACCCCAGGGCGTAGTTTGCAGTCGCGAGTTTGAATTAAGGTCATTAGCAGATGGTTATCTTTATCAGTGAATTGACTTCACTCTTCATATTGCCCAGCGCACTCTGTGAGTACGATGTGACGCGGATGTCAGACTGTGAATATCAGTGATTTTCATTTATTATATTATTTCATCAAGGTGACTGCGCAAGGTCGCTAAGTCAGCGCGTAGTCATTCTGTCGGAAGTCAGAGTTTATATCATTTCAGGTAGTAATCTGTATCAGTTAGATGATTTAATCCCTCGCGTCATACATTGTTCGAAAGCTCTTTGTGAGCGGAGCAAGAAACTTTCTTTAGTTACTCAGTCGGATTCCATAATCACTCCGTTTTTCTTTTCGGATTGCGGAGACTGACGCGTCAGGCAATGTCTCCAACGTTTTCGATCCAGTGCCATAATTTATGCTTCGGCAGGAGATAATCCCAGCCTGGAACAGAGTTTTCACGTACACTTGCTCCAGGTGATTCTTTGACGGTGTCTTCGACCGGTCAGTTAATAATACCTGTTTCGCCTTCCTTTGTGGATGCATTCCAAGGATATGACCAAACCATTGCAGCAATGACTTCATCTGATGAAACAGCGGCTGTGCACCAAGGCTCTGGAATGTCTCAATTTTGGAGCATGTCGAGGGATGTGAATCCAGCGATTCGTCTCACAATCCAGTTTTAACCATTTGTACCCTAGATCAAAGCTTTTAAGTCATGGTCTGCACTCATGACCGTTGAAAAGCATAGGGGTGAAGATCAAACGAGAGATTAGTCTTCAGACTCACCTGTGTTTTGGTCACAGAGCTTCAGGCTGGTTCACGCCAGACGCCGCTGGCCATTCCATTTCGCCGGTCGATCTCTTCCTCCCATTTTGAGTCATCAGTTTTCATAAGCATGACTTAGAAGTGCGTCAGCTGTTCGGCCTGTTTTTCCGTTTTTCTAAAGAGCGCAATGGGCAGAAGAACGAGAGCAGGAGGCTGTGATTTTTAGACACCTTCACACGCATGCAAGCTACGTCGCATTCATTTCCGAATCTTTCCAAGGACGAAGATCGTCTGCTGACAGCTACCTTCTCGTCTCGGCATCTCTTACACTGATACACTCTTGGATTTGGCTACTATTCTGTTCATTTACAACACAAACAGAGAGAAGACCGAACGCCGCCTTGACGGACACAGTACCAGCGCTGAAAGGTCTCGACTTAACGCCAGTGGTTTCAGTTCATGAACGGGGTTACTGCAACCTCCATGTTCCAGTCCACTGGCTTCTTCGCTGTGGTCATTGCAGTTTGACAGATTGGTATTAGCTGCAACATGCCTTGTAAGCCTAAAACTAATTATATCAGGGCAGATTTCGTCGACTCCGGCAGCCTTGCTGCTTTGCAAGTTTCCTGTGACTCCCTGTACTGAAAAACTAATATCTGTTGCCTAGTGCTCTTTAGGTGAATGTTTCTGTGATTGCTCAGGAGTAAGGAATTCTTCAAAATACTCTTTATCGCCGAAGTATGTCCTCATCCTTGATAAGTGGGCGTCCGTACTTCGCCTTAATGACGTTTAAAATGTCCTTCTTTCCGTCTCAAGACAGTTAATGGTCTGTCTAAAATCGCTGGAGAAGATACCAACTCTGAAGTCGATTGCTATGTCGAAAATTTTATATTTTGCTCACTTTAAGCGTTCGAGTGATGTATAACATTAGAAAATAAATTAAATAATTTTTGCAGATGACAACGTGCAATTATACAAACTTCGACTCCAGATCAGATGACTGCGCGTTGACTTGACAACCACGCACAGTCTCCACAAAGAAATCATAAAATAAAATAAAATTCATCAGTATTTTCTGTTTGAGACGACGTCACGTTGTATTCACGGGAAGCTTATCATTGATAGGGAATACCATAAACGATGGAAAGTAATTGATACAAATGACTATCTGCCGATGACGTAATTCAAATTCGTGACCCAGATTGTTCGCTGACGTGCTGACATCACACAATCATTACAGTGTATAATGAGAAAGGCACTAGTTCGACAGCAGCTTCGTACTTTACTCTTAAAAAGGAGTACCCTTGATATGTAGCATGATGAGCTGAATCGTGCAGTTGATGCATGTGACCACTGCTTAGTTATTCAGATTCAATGCGGCCCCCGCCTGACCGAGGGCTGACAACAACTAGCTTTCTTCACCGGTGTCAGAGATCTGCTAACAATAACTGTCGAGCAGAGGATTTATTATGGACGTGCAAGCCAGATTGGCATTATAACATTCATAAACTGCGTTCACTCTGGCTGGAATGAGGTTGATGAGCTTTCTTACAATGTACCACAGACTGAAGATGATTAATATGAGGTTGATGTTGGTACGCATATGTTAGTAAAAAAGCTTTAGAAGCTGTGCATAGGTGATGTTCTACGAGCATTCTGTGAGATTTAGAATGTTCATAGTGGTGGAGATGACTTTTGAGGTACCATACCTGAAAACAACATTGAAGAGGAAAAAATAGAACAACAGCTTGAAGAGATTTAGGCATCGAACTGGCCGGTGCTGCTGATGACCCTTACGAAAAATAGGTCTTAATGGCAGCACCTTGCAAATACGTACATATGTACGTGAGAGTATGTTTCCGTACCAAGTATTTATCAGTGAAAGGTAAATGGGATGTATCGAAGATCAAATGAAAAGATTTGTTCTCTTATGAAATGACTTTGACAGGATTGCGTAATGCTGTGCAAAGATTGGTATTACCATGGAAGCTACGTGACAGACGACGAAAGAAAGGATAGTGATACTATACCTTGTAAAGAATATGGATTTGGAATAGATGACCGAAGCCTTGATAGGGCTTGAAAAATGTAGAAGAAATGGACTCCTAAAGTTAATCCTTGTTGAAAGGAATGGGCTATGAAAAATATGAAGCATTTGTAATGGGAAGAATCGAAAAGAAACGATTATAGGACAAAATATTTTGATACAAACGTATTTGATGACTTTCATGTTTCATTTATATCTTTCTTTTTTAATAACGAGGCTTGTAATAAGAATTTATGATAACGTTTTAGAGTTCCGCGTTTTGACGCATTCCTTAAGAATATCGGTTGCTTTGGACAGAGTCTTTAAATACATGGAGGGTGAAGATGAAAGTCTCAAACCACTGCCGGTTAGAGATTTTCTGCTGTATTACTCTCAAGTAAGAGCATTTTGAATCAACTAATTAAATATTAATTAAACTTAGACCGTTGTTTTTATCAGATTTTGGTTAACATATGTGGCACTGAGGAAAATGCGACTTCATCAACGATGTCGTCATCGCCAGATCTGGAAAAGTGTTTTGACCTCGTTTTTTGTTTCTTTTTTCCTTTATTCATTGTAATACCGCCATGGATGATGACAAATACGCATCGTTACTCCGAGTTTTCCTCGTAGATCACACTTGCACTGCTTCAGCATGGTATGAGGATGACAACGGGTTTTGAAGAGAATGTTCAACCAAACCGTTAGGTCCTGGCAGTTTCATCCATGCTCTGAAAACTTGAGATTTTATGTACCCAGCTAAGTAGAAAAGTCAACATTTACCATTCCGCTTGGCGAGTTTGATAAGTTATGGCCACATCTTCCAGGGTGAAATCACAACTTGAAACCATGGCCTTCATTCATCAGAGGCTGGATTGCCGCCAGAGAAGGCAGCATTTGATCAGGCATGAAGGCAGAGGATGCTAAGAATACCCGGATTGCCGATTAGAGCTGCTGCAGTTCAGTAACGCTGGCAGCGCACAAATGTGGATTACTCTTAGGCGATGCAAGGTTTCATGAATCAGTCCAAAAAATTCGTTAAATCAAGTGGGACATTGTCGGTCTCAGGACGTGCTATTTTGTTTTGTTTCTGGAGGCTGTGACCCGATCAGATATCCATAATATTTGAGTATCTTCAGTGCGTTGGTGCAAAACAGTTTTTTTGGATGGATTAATAATTTCTTCGAGGCATCAACAAACCAATATTGGAGGATTTCCAAGTGACGTTTCAACCTACTCTATGTACGCCAAAACGGAAATGTTTAAGCGCTCAGTTTTGCCTAGTTTAATCCGGACCCTTAGAGGTCTGGAGCTTATCATGAAGGCTTCGCTGTACATACATTTTCTTTGCATATTTTATCGATTTCATTTTTTAGTTAAGTTTTCGTGCTTCACTTTCTGTTAACTAGCTGAAAGGTCAGTAGTTGCTATCCACATAGTATAGATTTTATTTTGCCTGAAAAATGCAAATTCATCAATGGGCTGTGTCCAGCTGGTGATGCTAACTGGCAAAATGGGTTTTTTGGTCAAATCAATCTAAATTCTGCTGTGTAAAGAAATTTTTGACCGGTACACTTGGCGAGATCCTGCTGTGTGCATTTTAGAAATAAACTTAGCAAAAGACGTGTTTTAAAAAAATGGGCTCCTTCAGTGGTCAGTTCTGTTTTAACTAATGCACCAATGACGAGCCAGCCATTAAATATCAGAAATATATTTCTTTAATTGACGTTTAACCTTATTCTAATCATTTGTCCGCTATCAGATGGATTAAGGCGAATTGTAGCTGTAAGGTGCATCCGTCAGACGGCATGGCCGTATATCTTGCAAGTTTTTACCTGGCTACACAAAAGCACCATACTATTTCTACTATTTCCAGGTCAACGAGTTGCTAACCGTTTTTTCGTTGGTTGCACCGAATCGCAGTGGGTTGAATTCTTTGCTTAAGGTAAATAGCAGTTAATATG